AAAAAAAATCACACAAACTTGAGCAGAAAAATATTAGTTGTTAATACCTCAAACAAATCTGAAAGGACTTTATGGATAACTTGGTAGAGAACCAATGGAAATTATTAGACAAATAAACATAATATTGTTTAAAAATCCAAATATTAGAAGACAACAAATAAAACAATAAAACAAATGTTTATTATGCTAAAACTAGATGCAGATAACAATTTAATATATGACGGCCAAAACTTTTAATTATGTGTAATGGCTGAATCTAAAAGAAAGTAGTCCAGCAAGAGAAGTGAGAATACGGAGATATCTTTCACTGAAGTGAAAAATATTTTTTTAACAGTGGAAATACGGATAATAAAAGTACGCATTTTATTTCATCAATATTTCTTGATATTTCATTTACAAGTACATGTATATAATAAATTTATATATTTTATAAGTTGTAATAACTATGTATGTGAAGGTCAAATTTACGTTTAACTTTTACTAGATATAGTATTATAAATTAAAGTTCATACTTATCAAAACTTATCATATTTGTGATTAAACTTGTTTTAAAAAATTCAATGGTCACAAAGGTCAAATTATGTTAATATCACTACTAGTGTGTAATGTCTTATGTTCGTTCAAAGAACCTTGATGAGAAAAGCCTTATCACACAAATCACAATTATGTTTTGTCTTACCAGTATGTTTTTCCATATGTGTGATAAGAATAACACTTTATATTTGTGTAATGTTTGGCCAGCATGTTCTGCCATTTGTGTAATAAGACACATTTCACATTTGTTGTTTTTTTTTGTTTTGTTTTTTTTCTTGCCAGCATGTATTACCATAAATGTGATAAGATAACTGCAATGAGAAAACAGATTTTACATGTATACTTTCTTTATCTATTTCTGATCGCCAGTGTGTATGTTCATATGTCTCTTCAGTGAAACTCGTTGAGTATATGCTTCATCACACACTTCACACTTGCGCTTCTTCTCGCCAGTGTGTGTTGTCATGTGTACGATAAGATTACCTCGTAAAGTAAAGGCTTTGTCACAATCTTCACACTTATGGTTTTTCTCGCCAGTGTGTATTCTCATATGCGCATTAAGATGGCTTTTTGTAACAAATGCTTTATTACACACTTCACATTCATGTTCCTTAGTGCCAGTGTGTATTCTCATATGTGTCGTCAGTGAACCTCGTTGAGAAAATGTTTTAAAACATACTTCACACTTATAATTCTTCTCGCCAGTGTGAATTCTCATATGCTCGATAAGATGGTTTCGTCTAGAAAATGCTTTATAACACAAGCCACACATATGTTTTTCCTCGCCGTTGTGTTTTGTCATGTGTATGTTCAGAGAACTTCGTCGAGAAAATGTTTTAACACATATTTCACATTTATAATTCTTCTTGCCAGTATGTTTTGTAATATGTAGGTTCAGATAACTTCGTTGAATAAAAGTTTTAATCACAAACATCCCATCTTTGTGTCACTTTATCTCTGCTGAGCGTCTTATTTCTTTGAATACCATTTCTTGATAATTTCTCACAAACTGTGTCTTTATTGTCCATCTTATCAGCTTGTATTTCCTTGATAGAAGTGAGACCCTGAATTAAACAATATAGTTATTTATTATATACTTATACATTAAATACTAAGAAATATTGATGCAGTCAAATGCGTATTTTCATTTTCCGTATTTTCACTGTGATTTTTGTTTTCATAACTGTGAAACATATTTTCCGTATTTTCACTGGTGTCTTGCCGGACAACATTCTTCTAAAATTCAGCCAATCCACAAAATGTTAGGGGAAGTCTTTTAAATTTTACTGTCAAAAAAAGAAGAAGAGAAAAATGTATATAATAAACAGATAATTCAAGTTTTTTCTATAAATACATGATTTATTTTCATCTTGTGGCATGAAAATTACCATATTTCACTCGTGGCTACCGCCACTCATGAAATATTTATTTTCATACCACTCGATGAAAATAAATCCTGTATTTATAGAAAAAAACTTGAATATCCATTATTTATTGCACTCGTTGAATAAAATAATATTATGCTCGCCAGAGGCTCGCATAATATAATTTTATTCAACTCGTGCAATAAATTCAGTATTGAACTTACACTCATTTAATATCCTCTATTTATAATTCTTCTCGCCAGTATGTTTTGTAATATGTAGGTTCAGATAACTTCGTTGAGTAAATGTTTTATCACAAACATCCCATCTTTGTGTCACTTTATCTCTGCTGAGCGTCTTATTTCTTTGAATACCATTTCTTGATAATTTCTCACAAAATGTGTCTTTATTGTCCATCTTATCAGCTTGTATTTCCTTGATAGAAGTGGGACCCTTTAAACAACATAATTATTTCTCCTGTACAATTCACATTATATTAATAATTTTATTCATCAACGTTTGCAGACACTCAGTCTCATGATACTTTATTTACAAGCGACTGTAACTTTGTTGAAATGTTTATCACAGACCCACGAATCTTTTGCGACTGCATGGATAGAGGATATTGAATGACTGTAGGCTCAATACCGGATGACCCATGTTCGACCTCATCCAGGCAATTACCTAGACAAGCAACCTTACAAAGGCGCAAAAATGACACTTAGTCTAGAGTGTGGACTCAACGATCCAAAAAGGTTCCCCTGAGCTAGCTTAGGTGAGCTAATAAAATTTGAATTTTCTGTTTATTATGTACATTTTTCTCTTTTGAGACAATATGTACAATTTGAAAGACTTCCACTGTAATTTTTGTGTTTCGACTGAATTTAGAAGAAAGTATCCCGCAAGACACCATTGAAAATACAATTAGTATATGTTTTACTGTCTTGAAAAATAAATTTTTACAAAGAATATAATTATGGAAAATAAAAGTACACATTTCATTTCATCAAATCAATATTTCATTAATAAGTATATAATAAACACAGTTATTCTAAATGAAAATTCAAACATTCATGTTGAATAAATTTTTCCTTGTGTATTGATTAATCATTAATTTTATAATCAAATCGTTTCTAATGGGATATCACGTAAGACCCGTATGTGGACTACGGTAACGTAGAAAAATTAAAGCATGAGACAACTCCAACTTCCCCCCCCCCCCCCCGTACATAACGAATCGCAATGTACCAAATCAATGTTCAAGGCATCCTCGGTCACCTTCATTCGCGTGATGAATGTAGCTCAGCGGAATCAGTACCCGTGGGTTCCGACGATGAGTTCAAGTAAATTGTCTTTCTAAAACTGATATTGTAACTTGTTGTGTGTTATGTGTGTTAAATTATTAAAATACATATTTATTGCTGCCTTGATATAGATGCAACTGTTGTATAAAGAACTTGACTTCAATAACGGTTCTTCGCTGTTCTTTAATTAAAGATAAAATCATATATCTTTGCCTATTACTTAAACTTAGTCTTGTTCGTGTTCATTGCTGTTCAAATGAATTTATCTTTATCTTGTTTTCAATTATCTGACCAATGTCAGCTGAAATCTACAATAAAACTTTAACAAATATTCCCTTTAAAATTCTTACAGTTTCGTCTCTGTCACTTAAAAGAAGTATTTTACTATATGACAAAAATGACAAAAGAGTGTGGATATTGACAAATTAAAACCGTTCTTCTCTCTTTGGTATATCCATGTACAGCAATGCCACGACCGTAGAAATGATAATGCTGTGTACAGAACCTAAGTTTGTTCTTTTATCTAGTTTCTTTAAATCGTGGAATTCAATTGATTTAAAAATGATATTAAGGTTAATTAAGAAGTCAGAAAATTAAGTGATAAAATGAAAGCAATAATTACGGCATTTTAATTACACCCGGAAATATACTTTCAATAGGTTGACGTTTCCGTAAATATCAAATTGGATAATTGCCCTGTTGACATGCAATTAAATGAAAGATGTAGATTTATATGTTAATTTAAGTGCAATAATTATGCAAATATTAATATTATTATATTATACATTTTTATGTAGGTACATTATATATACATTGTATATACATTATATTGACTGTTAATTCGTTTTGGAAAGCAGGCCGCTCGCAAAGCAAGCATTTCAGTAACGCGAGAACCTCAAAAACATTTTGTCGGAAGTACAGCAGAATTATGGGCTGCTGTTCAGCGGAGGTTATTTTGGTTACCTGAAATAAGGTATAAATGACGTAATAAATAATTGTCACGACATTTTTAACAAAATCATTGTCATTAGTTTTAGACGGCGTAATGATGATGATGATGATGATGATGATGATAAATGATGAATGATGATGATGATGATGATGACGATGACGACGACGACGACGATGAATAATGAATGATGATGATGAATGATGATGATAAATGATGAATAATGAATGATGACGATGACGATGACGACGATGACGACGACGACGACGAAGTGTCTTTGAAGTGCCATTAGTTAAATAATGAAAGTAACACGAGAGTTTTCTTATAAATAAGCTGAACCTATAACCTGTTCGAGTATCTTTCCTTTAAAGTTTCAATATAATTCATTCTAAAAACTTTCAGAGGCAATATGGCTGCCTATACAAGTAAACGGTTGTTTGAAGAATTACCACGACCTAAACGCTCACGACATATATAATATTACAAAATATTCATTACGAAATACATACCGGGCTGTGAATTTTCCTAATATAAAATTAAGAGGATAAAATCAAGTTTTTTTATTTTGTTATCATTATAAAACTCACTTTCTAACTACACATTTTTTATTTAGAGTAATTATAAGGTTATAATATGATTGCTTTGAACATTTTAGAAGTACAATATTATAAAGATTAATTGCTCTTTAATTTCTTTCAGTTTCTCTCTCGAATATACATGTATTATCTTTTTGTCACATTTTGTCAAAAGGGGAGTGAAGACAACAAAAATATTTTACAAGTGACTACACAGTTGTCTCCCATTATTCAATTTATTATTATCTCTTCAGTCAAGAGGGCATTGTGTGTTCTAGAAATTTGTTAGGTTTTGCATTGTATGTTCTATAAGTTTGTTAGATTTTCACGAAAAGAAATCCACAAGAAGGTAAAAAAGGCAAAAATTAATATGCAATATCAAGTTTCTTTTTTCACGTTTCAGACAAACCGATTTTGGCTAAAATTTAAGGGTAACATTACAATGCAGAAACGAAACGTTGTTGTTTTTTTTTTGTGTCAGAAATAGAAAATACCTAAAGTACACAAATTGAATACAAAAAAGTCATAAAATCATAGCAGTCAATATACATGTAATGATAATTCATACATTGACGAGATACTGTTCTTAATATATGTATTGTTTATGCTTAAGATTATTATTCATTACTGTAAAATCATAAACATTTGTTGCAGCAAGGCCTGGCCTGGCTCATCTATAATGACAACTTTATCTGTCAGATCTACTTAAGGATCAGATTCTGCTACGGTAGCAATTTCTCAGTCAACCAAGCCAAAGCAAGCAAATCGAAATTTCAGTCAATGTAAATTTATTATTAGGTTTGTGGGTTCGAATCTCGACAGATACTTTGGATTCTTTCATGTGAGGAAGCTATCCAGCTAGCTTACGGAACGTCAATGGTTCTACTCAGGTGCCCGTTCGTGCCTGAATTAATGCACGGAAGGGCACCTGAGGTCTTCGTCCGCCAGTAAAGCTGGAACGTCGCGATATGACATATACTGTGTCGATGTGACGTAAAACCCAAAACAAATAAAATCAGGTGACAAAATATCTCTCTAACAATATTTTTAAGTTTCATTTATCTAACCTGCACTATATACAAGTTAATAAGCTAGCAATTGTGCGTCTTGAATTATTGTTTGTTTGATCGGGCCTCATACATATACATGTATTCACATAAAGCAAATCTTGTCACATTTCGCGCACATTACAATCCGAGTGCATGGTACAACTAAATATATTTGTTCTGATTCATTTTTAAGTAAAATAGTTATGATAATTTTCTCTTTAAATAAGATTTGTTTCGTTAATTAAATAAGATACAATTGCATTTGCATTATAATTTCGAATCAGGATTGAGAAGAAAGTTAATGGCAATTTCTTAACCTCCCCTGTTAGTACAATTATATTTTCAAAAAAGACTTTATCTTGCCTCCGGGTAATAATAATAATAATAATAATTGAATAATGGCGATGCTAAATGATAATCTTAATAATGTTTATGTTTTATGTGCCGAAAACTAGAGTAACTGTGAAAATCAAATTTTCATTTTTTACTGTTACTAATGATGATGATGGTGATGATATTATGATGATAGTAACGATGACAATGACAACAACGATGACGACGATTATGATCAAAGTCAGGCATACAAGTAGCTGGGCATACGGGAGATAACTTCTAAAAAGGTCGCCTAAATAGTTTGTAATAGTTATCTCCCTTCAGTGATTAACTCTGGAACGACTATGTCGTGTCACTTATCTAATAACAAGAATAATGACAAGAACTAAGACAACTACACCATGTTTAATGACTGGTATATATGCTAATTTAATGGGCGGAGTTTAACGAGTTTTTTTCCATCTAATCTCGTCAAATAGATAATCTAAGACAGTTTTAAAACTTTTATTCTGATGATTCTGAAACTCATAACTATAAAAAGTAAAGAGTAGGACAGATTTTTATTCTGATTATACTGTATATAACTTAAAGAAATCATGAAATATGAAGGTTAAGTACTTAAATATGCTACCGTTTTCCCCTTAACATCTTCATTTAACCTAATATAGTATTCATATTCATCATCATTACTATCATCATCATCAATTTTATAATTTCGTTATTAATATTCATTATTATATAATGTTATGTTATGTTATGTTATGTTATGTTATCTCATATTATATTATATTATATTATATTATATTATATTATATTATATTATATTATATTATATTATATTATATTATATTTATTATTATATATATATATATATATTATATTATATTATATTATATTATATTATATTATATTATATTATATTATATTATATTATATTATATTATATTATATTATATATATATTATATTATATTATATTATATTATATTATATTATATTATATTATATTATATTATATTATATTATATTATATTATATTATATTATATTATATTATATCATATCAAAATGAAAATTATCATATCATATCATATCATATCATATTATCATTATCATTATTATTATGGGTAATTCTTCATCATTTTCATAACCAATCTCCATTTCACATACTCCTGATTTTAAATTATATGATTGTACATTAAATCTTGAATTATTTAAAAGCAAACAAACAAAAAATAAGAAAAAAAATAAAAAAATAAAAATAAGATAACTGAAACTGTTAAGGCGCATTGTTGATATCTGCGCAAACGCGTCATTGCGCATTCATACTGAAAGCGAGGCCACATCCACTATAGATCGGGAAAAAATTATAGTACTGAGTGATACAGTAACGAAAAAAAAGTGCGTGCAAGTTATTTAGAATTTAGATAATTCTGATTGCATTTTATCCGGATTTATAAGATTGGGCAGGTAAAGATGAGTTTATTTTAGTGTTTGATTAGATTTTTTATACATTAGATTATGTGTTATATTTGTTTTAAGGCGTTCCCTTTTTCCACATACATTTATCTCTAAATAATACGAAATACTTTAAACTACTGTTTTAAAATAGCAATCCTATGTTACATATGCAATAGGGGCAAAAAATAATAAAATTTAATGGGTTTAAAATATTTACAGCAAATATATCAAAATCATATAGTCATAACCAGTGAATTGTGTAAAACTTGAACAAGCATGAAAATATTTACATTATAAATCTTAAGCTAACATTTAACGACTTAAGAAAGTTCGATACACACCACTTTATTGATGAATTAATCGATATAAAATCAGGCTATACGTTTTGATCTTACGACAGAATAAGTTTAAAATTACCATCAGATCCGCGTATAGACTCGTCTATCTATATAAGTTTAATTTATGCAAAATGGCAGTCGAATAATGGAAGATGAGGAAATAAGTTACCTTTGTGGTAGATATGAGAAAGATTCTGTTACACAAAAACAATCATTTTAAAGACGAATCATTTAAATTCCGTAATTTAAATCTGTCGGTACAATTTTTGCTAAGTTTTTTTAGAAGGAGTCGTCTTTAAAACAAACATTATGTGTATGAACGCATCGGACAGGGTGTGACCACTGTGTGTTTGTTCTAAACTAGCTAAATATCCTTTAAGTATTCGAATTATTTCGAAAACATAACAGTTATTTGATAAAACACGGAAATAAATTAACCCTTCTTGTCGTACAAATGTACATCATATTAAACACAATTTAGTACGATACTCTAAACCGGAACTACATACTTGGTTAAAGATTCCCCTTAAAGAAGAGGATCTAATTGAGCAGTCCATCCATCATAATTTAATATTTCAACATTTTTCGGTTTCCGTACTTATTAAGTTTATTGGGTCATACAATCAAGAATTGATAGATGGCTAATGGTCGGTTAATTGGCCTATCCTCTTTAGGGCCTTTAATGAAATATGAATTAATTAGATAAGATGTGTAGATGTAAAGTTATGCAGAGGGTTAATATATCTCTGAATATATGCCCTAACATACGTAGGGTTTTTAAAAACTACCACCCTAATTATCTTAAATGAACACGTCCGTATTTCAATCTGGACCAATCCATTCATCGTTATTAGGATTTAATTGTTTGTTTTGTATTTGGTTTTTTTCGGTGCACCAACACAATTTAGGTCATATAACGCTGAATCAGGAAATGTGATTTTTGGTCAACCTGTGGTGTTACAAACTTAAAGCAACACCAAGGGTCAAAACCACCTCATCTGCTAGAGCTTTGAAATGCATAAATTCAAGCAACACGAACACATTTAGTCGCCTCTTAAGATCATGCACGGTAAACGGTGGCCGCAATTTTGATGCCTCAATACCTCAGCCACATGGGGCTCATTTTTAGGAGCAATTAAAAAGAAACTCTTCAAAATAGTTATCCCTGTAGAGTACTAGTAGGAAGAGACCTACGCCTATAATATGGACAAATGGAGAGATTGAACACTGATTTGATAGACACGAGGTCATTATTTGGAAGTTACTCTGTTCGATTCAATAATTGAAAGTTTATCAAAAAGGAGCCTTTTTTACAGGTTGATCTCTGTTCGGAGTTGGTCGCTAAGCACAGGGTTGAGAGTAATAACCTCTTCATATGTTACTGTATCTGTGGTATATTTTTGTGTTTTATATTGTCATTATTAACTGCAACTTGTTACAGTATTTGTGTATGATTCAATGACATTTATACAGCGTTTATTGCCGTGCATACTTAATTGATTCAACAATTGACCAGGGAATCCCGCTCATAGTAAATGAATTATTAACGACGGTATTTGTCGCGCGAAGACTCGGGGTTAATTGTCGCTTGAATAAATTCCTGCGGGTCTGACTCAACAGACGCTTTTATTAACATGTTATTTTTTGAAAATATCGGGGTCTTTCAAATAGAACTTTATAAGACGCTGAAAATATGGAGCGATTTTAGTCTGTTTACTTTTTAGATCTGAGATAAATTTAAAATAATAAATAAGTAATGATAATGATAAAACAGTTTCGTTTTAAGGTATGTAATATTTCGAATGGTTCTCAAATTTAAAAAGAAGCACTATATTAGTTAAAAGACGGCCACTGAATAAAAATTGCAGTTGCCGAAAAAAAAGTATGGTCAAGCATAGACTTTGTTGTTGTGACGCTTTTAAAAGTTGACAAGGTAGACAGTAACAATTGTTTATATATACATGCATATCAGAAAGAAAGCAATAATAACAATAAAAATACAATCCATTCACTAGAGTCGACATTTGAAGTAAACACTTACAGATCCTATAAACAAGGTGGTGGACATGTAACAATTAAAAAAAAAGAAATTAGAAAACACAGAAACAAAAACATGCGAAAATGAATGTCAACGTTTAAAGTTTGCGTGTTACAAATTGATTAAATGATACATAGCGACACTCTCTACCCATTTATAAAACAAATTGTCGACCCTTGGGGTATTATAATACTCACAACGTCCTTTGCCTTTGTATCTATATATCTAGACCTTGGTCACAAAAGGGGAGATACATTACTATTTAACGGATGAATACAAAAAATATTTGAGAGATATATACTAGTATATAATTAGACATATACTAGTATATAATTAGGCAGTCACCCTGCTGCGAAATCAATGTATCATGGCTATTGTAGGTAACTGAAGTCTCTAATTAAACTGGAAATAGCTTCACAGATATTATACATTTTCCAAAGGTAAACTATATGGTAGGAAATGAAAATTGACAATACACTTCAATGAGATGAACGTAAATGAGAAATTGCAACGTATTATAATGAAAAAGCCTGGAAAAAATGTCCGAGCAAATCCTAGTATATCAAAGTGTCACTCTCCGTACAAAGCAAGTATAGATATCATATATTATTTGACATTTATTAAATTCAATTGAAATTATGCTAAAATAAAGCTTAATTGTAGTTGAACAATAAGAAATACCTATATGTAAGTAACATATAGTTTTGAATGCAGTTTTATTCAGCACCACTACATTTCTTTTATTAAAGTGGCCAAATCAATTAAAGTAAAAATGTTTATCATAAACTTGACCGAAATAAAATCAGTCATCGTTAAATTTATGTCAAAATCGTACAAAATCCAAAATGGTTTTTAGTGGAATTCATCCTCAACTCCATTTTGATCACAGATGATACATTAAAGTTTGCATTCAATGTTAATGCTTTGCTGAAATGTTTTACTTAAATCAATTATAGCATTCATGGGCTCACAAGGCTTGAGTACTTCTTCTTTTTTATTTCCCTTCCCCTCTATAACACCGACACAATATCTCATAAACTAGACATAATAACAATGGTATGTTGCCATTAAAGACAAATTTATTGGATCTTGATCATTCGCAGGACCTAGCAACCGTTTCTCTCTGAAGTTTTCTGTTTTATGTCCAGTGAATGTCAAAGATCTTATAGTTGTAAATGAGACATAGTTTTTTTCTACCATTATCTTACAAGAAATGACAAGTGTTTTACGTGCTTTTCCGTTATTAACAATTAATATATCATAATCGGTGTTTGACATTCAAACAACAAAGGTACATCACATAAGTTAATGAAGATGTTTTCTCATAAATTAGCAAGTCAAGAAGAACTTACTTTGGTGATAAAATATGTTTTTGATATATACTTAGCATATGCCTTGCCTTAGGTTCTTTTTTATGAACATATAACATATCATTTTTATGCACGATTTTCACGAGCTTGTTGCTTAAGTATAGAATTTATTATGATCCTGCATATATGTGACGAGAAATGTGTTTACCTATATGAAATATTACCGTATTAAACACGACTGCAGAAAAACTGTGAAATGATTTTCAAATTTTTAATAAGAAAACTCATTTTTACAGTATCCAAATTAATTTTTAATAGTTTTATTATAATATTGTCTGTATCAGGATAATTTTGCTAAAATATGACCAGTCAAAACTTAAAAAAATATACCAATTTTTATTTTAATTTTACCCATGAAATATGGTGCAATATTGATTGATTGATCGATGTATTTATCTATTTATTTATTTATTTATTTATTATTTTTTTATTTTAATTTTTTACTCACTTCAACGATTTTAAGCATAAGTAAAGGTACATCGCACCTGCCAAATATAAAAAAGTTCCGGGACCCTTTTAAGTTGCAAACGTAACTTATCGGTGCTCTTTTTTTCATTCATTCATTTTATGCTCACACCAACACTATTTTATACCTGTTTGATTTTCTTTAAGGTTTTGGAATCTATGTACATATCATTCATCATGTATATAAAATAATGTTTCTAGCTTACCTTTATTTACATAGATCAGGTGAATGCTGAAAGCCTATCGGGCTTATCAGTAGTTCATTTAGGAAATTTCGAGATTTATCAGGGTACCTGCGGATAAAATTGTCTCTTATCATCCGGTGTATCGAAAATACATACACAATTTCTGATTTTCATCTCTTTTTGAATGAGGTGCAAATGTGTGCAGAAAACTGTTATCTGGAAAGAATTCGTAGCTAAGTAAAGTTAAACGTTATGATAAAAGTAGTCTAAAGTACTGTCAGAACCGTTTGGAATTTGGGGAAATAACGGTTATCTTAATTGATTATCCTTATCAATACTAGAAAAATACTTTCGTGTATTTATTCATTCGAACAGTGAATAAAACATGTTTATTCATGGTACTACTATTTTAAGTTTGTATCCCAACTTGAAAATTCATTTTTTTTTATCATGAATATATTTGAAATTCATTTCATGTTCTGAAGTATGTAATAGTTTTCAGTGATTTTCTTTAACTGTTAATAAATTATATACATGTATGTATAAATCTAACTAAATAGCCTGCTTACGTTTTAATAGCTAAATAAACTTTCGGTAGAAAATATTTGATCATTTAATTTAAATTGAAGACACTGATTTTAATCGTGATACGATATTTGACCATGCATAATATCGCCGGTTATACTCAAGAGCCCATTCGACCTTAAAATAATTTCAGAGGAGCACCCGAGGTATTTTACATAAGTTAACTAAGCTGAAAAGACACTTTATACTTTTCACATTGCCATAAAAAGAAAAAAAAAACAAAAAAACAAAAACAGCAAGCCTATAAGATGCTGGCGTTGGAACCCCGTCTCTGCAGTCTACTACACGTACACCGGCCACCTCCCCTAAAACACACAGCTATTATTTTAAACATAATTTCAAGCTATTACTGACTGGTATTTTAAAGTATCAATAATATTTTTGTTAGAATTTTGTTTTAGAAATGTGATTTAAATATTATTTTATGGTATTAGAGTTTACCGCAATATGATAAGCGAGGGGGGTCTCTTTGGTGATGGTAGAGTTGTTCCTTGTGTAAGAGTAAAGAACACTTTTTAAACAAAACAATTTCTCTATGTTACATTTTACTTGATGGCTCTTTAAAAAAAAGTTGTAATCCCGCATACGATATGCCAATAATTTAAACACCATAACAGTGTAACAAAACAAACATCCGAAATAGACCTGTTGAAATATTTCGCATGATCTTTGAATAACCGTCGGTAATAGACTTGTTTTGTGGTTTTTAGTATAATAGACATTGGTTAAGAGCATTGTGGGTAATTTAATATCATACGATGAAATATTAGAATTTTCAGAACTATCTTGGGGTTTGCCAGTCATATTCATGGCAAATAGACAGTCAGTTATAAGATGTTAATAAATCGAAGTCAGTAAACAGGCCTGCTTTTCTAATTAACTTGGCCAGCGTTTCCAACTGGAGAGAAAAGATTCCGCATATTATCAATAATATTGTTGGTTAACTGTTGGTTCAATATGTTGATATATCATGCTCAAAATTTGATATTAAGGTATTTTTATTAGAGAGTATGCAGTCAGACTTAATATTTCACTGCTTCTTTTTAATATTATTTTACAATTCTAATCGAATTCACTTTATATTGTTTTAGATTATAAACAAATTCTATTTATTTGAACTTGAGTTCATTTACTTTTTTATTATTTGATATTTTACTCCTTTCGGTAGGACGTGGGATTTTCTGTTTTGCCGTTTATTGCTCCTTCTTTCTCGGGAAGGGGGTGGGGGCGGGGAGTACCTTTGCCGTCCATTTCAAGCGAACTCTATTGAATTATGTATGGGTCAAATATAAGATATTATGACAAGGCACGAGGTGGTACTATCTCCAATTTTGCAAATGACATTAGATGGCGAATATCCAGTGACACTAATTGAAAACGCCCTAACGTCTGCTTGAATTAGGATTATTGTAGAAAGAGATGTCCAAACAATGCATTACGATTATTTATAGAGGAATGTCCGGCACAGGAATCAATGTCAATCTATTTGAGCCGTGACACGACAAAACCAACATAATGGGTTTGCGACCAGCATGGATCCAGACCAGCCTGCGCATCCGCGCAGTCTGATCAGGATCCATGCTGTTCGCTTACAAACCCTTTTACAAGTAGAGAAACTGATAGCGAACAGCATGGATCCTGATCAGACTGCGCGGATGCGCAGGCTGGTCTGGATCCATGCTGGTCGCAAACCCACTATGTTGGTTTTGTCATGACACGGCTCATTTATTATCACAATATACATGTATAAACGATTAATGAATTAAGGAACTGTCGCATTTTTTTTAATATAATAAGATATCAACCATTAATGAATTGAGGAAATGTCGCAAAATTTAAATGAGTTATGCTTTTAAAGAAGAAACAAACAAACAACTTGGTTTATATGATTTCCAACCTTCAATGAAATTAATGTGCACATTCGAACATATTTATTGACATACCAAAAATGAGAAATACATATTGTATTTATACATAATTATGTTATCAAATATGTATGTAATTAAGTGAGCAATTAAAAAACTTTCCATGCAGATAGCACCAAAACAAAGAAACAGCAACTGTGGCCGAAAAAATCAACAAAACAAAAAATTTCTTCTAAATACTTGGTAATCCGTTTCTTACAGTAGTCAGTGTATAAAATAGTAATGTACCATGTTAAAACAAGGTCGCGAAACTCCATTAGGCATTTACAATAATTCACCAATCTTCCACACGATGCCCAATTTGAATAAAAATGTTATTGTGTCCTAATGTTTCCCGAGAGGGTATTATATATCGAGGCTAACAATAACAAATGTGTGCCTTCGAAAAAAACTAGAAGGGATAAAAACAGGAATTGAGGCAGAGAAAAAGACTGCTTCTAAAATAATTCTTCATTTTTAATGTAGTTTTCTTTGAGGGAGTGTGGGACTACAATTCATCATTGATATTAAAGAAATTATTAAAAAATATACTTCCAGGTCGAGGTTTTTTTTTTTGTTTTTTTTTTCATTATTAAGGCTTGCGTATTTACTTTCCAAAGATATAACCTATAAATATGCATAACAGGATTCAAAATTTATTGAGTATTTCATACAATTTATAATTAGTGTATAGGTTTGCACTCATGAATTATTCGCAAAATTTCTGATCATTCGCAGAATCATATAATCATTTTCGTTGTACAAAATTATCCAAAATCGCTTTTATTTAAGATCTAATTTTCTTATTAAACTTTTCATTGTTTATTTATTTAAGTTCAACACTTCATCTGTGTCAAAACTTCAAACTTATACTTTAAGGCTTTTGAACACCAGTGGACCTCCTTTAAGTTGACTTTTTAAATCATTGGAAGGTTTGCAGCTTGAAAACTATTCGATTTCTTGTAAAAAGGCATATTTTTGGTGAAGCAGCCCAAAAGAATGAAATTATTAAACATTTCAAAGGCATCGGTATTGTGCTAAAATTTACGAACTTTGTCTTTTACGATTGACTGCACAGTTCTGAATTCTGACTCACAATCCCAATAATGTTGTGATTATAAAAAATCGATATTAAAAAAGGTCGATGCGTTTAATTAATAAGTCAAATGTTTTAAATGGGTTTGCGTGACACTGACATGCGTGAACATGTTAAACATTGATTAATTGAAAAGCAGAAAATGAGTTAAATAACTGAATTGATACGTTTTTATAAAGTGTGTCGCTTAGGGCGTACAAATCAAACGTTTATAAGATATGATCGATTGATTTGAACAATACGGGGAGGTCAAAATCTGTACAATTATCAAAATTTGTAAACATATACATGCTATTCATTATACGACTCTGGGCATTCAGTGAAAACCCTTCGTTGAATGTCTTAAGGCATAGTTTAATGCATGACGGTTGAATATGTTTCCAAAAGGTATAGTTACATTTCATTGCAATGCAATAATTAAATTGGCAATGCATACATGAAAATATGCATATTGAGTAATAATGGGATTTAAATACATTAAGAATCTAATGTTTTTGGACAATAATGCAAAATCATGTAAATTGTTTCAAATTTTAAATGAAAAAGATTTTATTTTTCAGGATCTAACGGAGGTATGTCGCAGGAACTAATAGACCTTGAGGAGCTGGTTAAAACATGGGTCAACGATTTCCCGCTTGACAAGAGCCAGCGAAAAGACGCAGACGACATCTTATCTACAGATATAAACTGGAATCACATGCGGATTCATCATGGAAAAACAGAATATTATGATGCGGTAAAAAAATCGACGCCGAAAACGCACGTGCTCTTTTCTGCGTACTTTACGAATGATACAAACCAGCCACAAGTTTATACCCTGAAAACGGAACGGAGAACAAAATCAACATGTAACATTTCTATGGAAAAGTGTTATACGATCGGATTTAGCCTTGACATTAAGCTGTGCCCTCCAAACCCTGTGATTGAGGCAAACGCCGGATTTAAAGGTGAAATGTCTGTTAAAAAAGCAGACGAAGAATCGTTCGAGGAAGAACTCGTCTGGTCCGTAGATAATCAGATAAGTGTTCCAGCACAGTTCAAAACCAAGGCTGATCTGGTGCTTAAGGAAGATGAGTACACGAGTCATTTCAAATGTGAGACGAAGTTCGAAGGAAAGATCCACGTGACCTTGAGAAGCAAACGTGATAACTCTCCGATTACAACGCTAACGGGTGACGTCAGACACATTTTCCGCGCGGACCAAGGATTCCGCGTTGATAAAACCGGAATTTATTATGTTTCGCAAGGACGGTGTAAATGTAGATTTGGAATAGAACAACATGTGAAACTGAGCCAGATGGCATTGAAAGATGTGGTTAATACGGATGAAAATGAAAATACAGAATGAGGTGTTAGTTAAAAATGCATTGTGATGAACGTACGGGTTTAAAACTGCTGCCTACGCACGTTGTGAACGCAAGTTGTGAACGCATTTTGTTTACGCTTCTTTCTACGCAATCAAACTGCGCGCTCTCTTGAACATTATTAAATTATACTCGTGATAACTTATTCTTCGGATGATATTTAGATTATATATTTATATCATATACAAGAAAATATAAATGCATTCCGGAAAACCACAAAAGCTATATACATTCCGGAAAGTATAGTTGAAATTAATGAATACAAACCCGGGGAAAAACACACGCCGTGGAATATGAAACGTTCAAACACTCAGAGGATGGAGCACGTGGGCGTTACCCTCAAACAATGTTCGCGTTACCTTTGATAGGCAATTCAACATAATTATGTCACTAAATGGACGCCATACATTTGAACTTTGCACTAACTACAAATCAATTAATTAAGAGAAGTTGACATATTTCGGTGATATATGATGTTTTATTGACTCTAAGTGACCCAAAGTTGTCAAACTATGTATACATACGTTCAATTTACAGTTTTATATGTAAGTATATTAATATTTGTAATAAAAATTTAGTGATCAAACAAAGATAGTTGTCCGTTTAGTGTAATTTATTAAGAATTTGTATCGAATTTGTTATGAAGTATATAGCATACTATATAAAAACTAAAATTAAAATGATACCATTTCTTCGTTATAGTCAGTCAGGAATAAGTTATTTTTCCTGGCTCTAATATTTTAACGCATGAGTAATAGAAAACAATACATCTGCCCAGAATAATAATTATTATTCCGTTTTCCTTGGCAACCATATTTCAATTCAAGAATTTCAAGGTTTGGAATTCTCCTGTGTGCGCCAAAAAGGCAATGTTGTGTCTTAAGTTTCTGAGGCAATTTATCAATCTCCTACAGAGAAGATTCAACAATTTGTCAAGACGCACTTAATTGTTTTCGAGAAAACAATTTGCGGGTTTTATTTCTATTGATTTTTCCTCTTTACAAAGGCTAGAAGATATGACCCTGTGGAGTAAGTTCATTAACAGTTGCAGACCGTGTCTCGGGATTAATTCTGACACGTTCGATGGTAATTGGACAAACCAGTCCACAATCTTTACTATTGTTACTATTTATGGTTATGAATAAAATCTCATACGAGCATTTTGATAAATACAATGCAGTTTTTTACCTATTGTTATTTACAAATATACATGTATATGGCAGGATATTTTTATTTTTTTACAGCCATTTTTTTCGAAGAAAAGAATTCCTGACCTTCTCGGTGTTCTTCATTTAATATGTACTTCAAGGGGCTCCAAAAGCCTAAAAACATGAAATTTAAAATTCTTATATACGTATATTAACTAGGGCATAAAAAGGGGGAAAAACTATAAAAATGTTATATACATATTATAATGAATTATACAAGAATTTATTTTTGAAGAAGATGATAATAAGTGCGATAAAGCTAAAATTGAGCCAAAAACGTTTAAAATAGTGAGCAGTTAATCTGGAATTTTTCACACGAGTTATTAGTTTAGACCTACATTAATTAATTTCGAAAACAAATCTAGTCCTCAGAAAAAAAAGACGACAGTGTCACCTCCTGATTAACACCACATATTACATATAATAAATATTAGTCAGATTGGTACAATATTGTTTAGTTATCAAAATGTAATTGACGTTCGGCACAGATGAGCAAAATAATAATAAAAAATACAAATTAAGATATCACTTGATAAATGACAGACGATTCTTTATCAGATGAAATATTCAAAATGGGTTATTCAACAAGCGTGACTCTTTTAAATATAAAATAGCAAATTTACAAATCTACTTTCTTTCATACCTCATTTGATGAAAAAATAATACCGTAGTTTTCGTTAGAATATTTTTGTAGTTGATGTTGGATTTTTTTCTTGGTAAATTTATTTCGAGCACATGAGACAAGTGTTCGAATCTCAGTCCAGGCTTTACATAGATAGGGAGCTGGCCGGGTAGGATAACCGCTTATGTTGGGACTCAATAGAACAGCTGGACTCCTTTATATTCAAAATTTTAGCTTTGGTCAAACAGTATGAAATTACTTGCCTTGAACCACTTGCCCCTCACGTACCAAATGTGGGTTCAATTTTTATCTGAACTATTTCAGGTGTGGAAAAAATCCCATTAGCTTACAGGTCAATGGTTCAACTCATATGCCTGTCCTTAACTGAAAAAAAAGCCTTCCTCCCCCTTCCTCCCCCCCCCCCCCCCCCATAATTTTTCATGCCATCAGGGTCTTTCAAATATTTGAAAGACCCTGATTCCATATATGGACATTTTACAGGCCTGGCTGATGTCATAAGGAATAAGGGGAACACAAAAAGAAAGCAAGAAAATTATCTTTTTCTTTCACTGAAAGTTTTTAATATTCACATGTAATTCAAATACTACACAAAGTACATGTATACTGTATAGGGTAAAAAATATGAAGAATATAAAAATGAGGTAAAAGTCATAATTATAAACAGATCTTCTAACAAAAACATTTATTTTGAAAACACTGAAATTATGAATTAACTTTGCCATCTGCAACGGTTGATTATTTTTTTTTTTACATATTTCCCCCCAAAATTTCATAGTCTTTTCTTGCCTAAGCAGTCCCTAAAAAAATATGTTCAATGTATATATACATGCACTGCTAAAGGTCATACCCTGCTTTATAAAGAATACATCGTCGGATATCCACAGCCAAACCATTCAAGATCCTTTGTAGTAATTAAGGTTGTAACCACATTTCAGTGAAATTTTATATAATTATGTGTATAATTATGCTTCTAAAACAATTTCCAAACATCGAAGAATATGTAAAATATGTACTGCAAATATTTGTTCACATCATATGTAATCATTAAAATAAATGCATTCATTTCTTATTGAAAAAATTGACTTAGACTTAAATAAATTTCTAATAACCTCCCTTTATTAACATGAAATGAAAATTAGATATCTTTACAAATAATGCATTTTTGAACCTACAATATTGATAAATCTTCATTTGAGCATTATATTTATGATATGAAACCATAAAAATGAATTACAGGATCTTTAACATTTTACATGTGTATCCGATGATGTAAAGAATAAAGAAAATTTACAAAATAATTTAAATTTAACATAATGCCATTTAAACAATAATAATTCTTTATTATACTTCTTTCAGTTAAAAATATTGTAATATAATACATATGGATAGCTTCTACCAATCAAAATGCAAAATGACTACATAATATATAAAATCATAAGTAAAGATTTCTACCGGCTAGATATTGCCAAGTCTCACCTTTTAAAGTTGAAATTTAAATCTGTTACTTAGCAACATAAGGTTTAAATTACTAACTTATTAAAACACTAAATAATCATCCCTTTCATGTCCCTTGTAATTTAAACGCATAAATTATCCACATATATTAAATTATCTTTGTAATGAATATAGTCTTTCTTAGGAATAGTGACTGTCCAAACTAACAAATCAACATCAAAAACACCATGTACATCTAATTAAATGTATAATAAAAATGAGAAAGAAATATCTAATAAATCTCAAAAAGACACAATACAAGTATGAATTCTGCAAGACTTTGACTCAAATTTGGTTAAAGATGACATACAGGGGAAATGAATCATATTATACAAAAAAAATCTGAAATTAAATAAAATAGAATAAACTGAATGTATGTTTATGTTTTTATATACCATATCATTTTAGCCTAATTCATGATTAATGTTAGGTTCTTAAAGCAAATGAAAATAAATTCCAGATCCTTTGATCAAGTTACAGATCCTTTCCTTGTAAAGTCAGCACAGTGCCTTAAGTTTGGAAAGAAATTTACTACTGTTCTTTCAGTCTGTTTTTATTACTTAGCAGAGATATGTTTCCACATTTTGTCTCTAAAATTGAATCAGTAACAACTCATCACCTCAGTGCAGTAACAGGTTAACTCCTTAAATAAGTTAATAGGAGTTAACCCATTATTGCAATAAGGTGTCAAAATGCGAAGTTCACATGTATAGTACAGTTCAAAACAATTGTTGATGTAAGGATTAATCATACATAACAAAAAAAATAAAAATACAAATATATGTCCTTAAAGACAATGGCAGTGCACTTACTAACTTATGTTAAGTTTTAAAGTCCATCTATAAAACTTTTTATGACTCACTCAAAATGATGCATAAGTGAACATTAAATATCATACGAGAAGGAAAGACAAAGAATCATAAAAAGATTCCAATATAAAAAAAAACCAAAAACAACAACAAAACAACAGCATCATGGTAACCATGCACCATTAAAAGAAAATAATAAAAAATACACTTAAAATTGCACTTTATCTGTAAAAACCAATAATCATTATATGAAACTGACAAAATGTACATAGAGATAAAATGCCCACAACAGAGTCAGACAACCTTAATATATATTATAATTTTACAAAAAAAAGCAAACAAAAAAATCTTAAAGTACATTGTTCTTTCGAAAAATATCTTTTACAGACAATTTTGTAACATAAGCTTTACCATTGACAAAAGTATTTTGCATTTGTTAATTTGCAAAATGATTATCATATATAAGTTTATAAGGATTTTTGATGGGTTATAAAACAACTGTGAGCTTTTATAACAAAGATCACTATGAAAAGTTATATAACCAGTAGGCAAAGGTTATATGATCACTAGGAAAAGGTTATATGATCACAAGGACAAGGTTATATGATCACTAGGAAAAGCTCACATGATCACAAGGAAAATATTATAAGATCACTAGAAAAATCTAATATGATGACTAGGAAAAGGTCATATGATGACTAAGACAAGGTTATATGATCACAGGGAAATTATATGATCACTAGGACAAGTTTATATGATCACTAGGAAAAGTTTTAATTAGGAAGAAGATAACCAATTTTTGAGTGCGCTGTTGTAAAATAATGCATGGCTAGAGTTCAAATGCACAGGAATAGGCGTATGTTATTGCAAAAACCGTTAGGTCTCATTGATAACTTTCAAAGCATTTGAACGACAAACCTTCCATTATTATACTACAAAACAGAAAAAATGAATATCTTTCTATATTGTAACATGCTAATTAAAAGGGAACTGATAAAAATATGTTGAACGACAATGAGCGAAGACATTTTTCCTGACTGTAAACATATTCTTTTGCGAGCTGTGCATTTACTGGGTAATACATTGTAATTCACTTCACTGTTCTGTCCTTTGAAGCATGTGAGAATGACTCATGTTTGACCTTACCTAATTATTGAATGGAAAATTTGGACACAGTTTGATAAAGATCCAATCAAAATTGCAAACAAAAATTGTTGAAGCCAACCATTGACTGATCATAACAGTGACAAGAGCAAATATGTCTTTATTGCTACTAGGCTTCAAGATATTTAAAGAAATAAACAGAACTAACTGACAGCATTGTATTAATAGAAATTACACCTTCATATCTGACTCCATACATGGAAGTTATCTCTCTTGAGTATAAAGATGGTTGTTTAATTTGTACATTTACAATACACTGTATCAAATCACAGTTTACATTTATATTTGTACACAATATTTAGTTACATCTACATCACTGATCCTCCTCCCTATAGTTCATACTGGTTCCCCTAATGCTACTTCTCTTCCTGCTGGTTCCCCTCTTGCTGGCCTTGCTGATTCCCGTCCAACTGGTTCCCCTCTTCTTCCTCCTCTTCAGCAGTTTCAAGCCCATTATTTAGCTCCGGGTACCAGGATTTGTTCTGTTTCTTACACAAGAACAACAAAACCCTGTTCTCATCCACCTGTGATTGAAGAATAAACCAAAAGACATTAACATCTTTAGTTTATACAGAATTTATTTAGGCAGCTTTAAGCTTATCAACACACTCTCAAAAATGATTCTGGACCAAACCGGTAATTAGCAATGAGAGTAAAGATTCTTGCTCTATGAAACAACTGCTTGCCCCTAACAAGGGTCAAGCTGACAATCCTTAAATTTCTAGTCTGACATGTGAAACACTCCACCATACCACCGCTAACTGTCTATAAAATGCTAATCTCGCAAATCAGACATTTATAACTCTCAAATTGGATCCTAAATATATTTAGCATTTATCCAGTGCTAAACCTGTTCTACTTTTTTCCAAAAGGCCTGTTGTGCTTTGAATTTGCATCTGCCCATCCCTTAATTTTCAAGTATACTGTTCCAAATTCAAAACAGGGCAAATCCATTTCACTAATTCAGCAAGTTAAGGGTTTACGGATTTCAGTATAATTATGAAACCGACCAATCAAAAGTATTGACAATACATGTATATAAAGTCTGGTCACACTGCATGGAAGTTATTTAGGCTGGTCCAGCTCTATACTTGTGGCACAGACCCGTAATTGTCCCATTAACTTTTCAAAAGGTTAAAAAAGAGAAAAAAACTTTTGTTACTGTTTAGGAAACACTTCATTAATTAAACATATAAACCCTTACTATGCTTATTATCTTAAATGGACTTGTCTGTATTTTATTTTGGACCGAACCATTTGCTTATTTTACAGAAAAATTCAAAATACATATATGTACTGAATTGCGAGTGGTGCAAATTAACCATGAATAGACGAAGCGAATGTGCCGTCAGATCTTGGGTTACACAAGTCGCATAAATATTAACTGTTGCTAGCAGCAGATGACAGGTTGATAACAATTTATCATAAAATTATCACCATGAAAAGTAAATATGAAACTGTCACCTTATGATAATAACTATGAATTATTATAAACATACAATTATCACCTAAAGATAGTAACTATGAAGAAAGATCATGAAAATTATCCCCTTATGATATTATATGAAGAAACAACACAAAATTATTATCTAATGGCATCTGTTTATAATATGCAGTATAAAATTAACACATTTTGATAACAACCAATGCAATATAAAATTATCACCCCACGAAACAAGTGAAGAATAAACATAAAATTATCACCTCATAATAACTTTTATCACTGTCTATTTCATGAGGAAGCTTCTTAATCTTTAACTGATAATTCTTTCCCTTCAGGTCTCCTTTCTCACCATTCACAGTCAAACAAAAACCTCTGAAAAAATAAAAATAAACATTGCCATGATTTATTTGCATCAAACCCTTAAAGGGACTCGACTGGAGTCAAACAGCCAAAAAACATAAAATTTGAATTTCTTGCCAAAATCAGCCAGTGCACTTTCATAGAATTGAAAGATATGCAAAAGATACAGTAGTTAAGAAATATACTCAGAAATTAATTAAATAGTATTTTGGTGCTATTCCTAGTTGGTTGCTATTCCTAGTCCGATTTCAGGAAAAAACATTGAACATTTTTACTTTTTAATTTTGAGTAATTCTTCACAATAAATGACTGAGAATAACTATTCTGAAAAAAACTGGGATTAGGGAATTATCTGAAATTTTACACACAAGTTATTGGACTAGACCAACATTAAATGGAACTGTAATCTTGAAAAATTATTTCCAGTCTTGTCATGTTAAAAATCTCAGTGGAGTCCCTTTAACCTGCTAATTTTCTTAAATTTGCTTGTCCAGCTTCAATATTTGGATAAGTCCATAACTAATTTCGTGGATATCAAGATAGATGAAACTTTTTTCTTTAGTTGGTCACTGGTCAACCAACAGTCTTGTTAACTCCTATTAAATTAGAAGGACTTAAACTGTTACTGCACTAAGGTCACATTCCATTAATTGTTAATAGGGTTTTGGTTCTAAAATGTTAAAATTAAGTAATATTTCAAATAGTAGCTAAGTTAAGAATTGTAAGATTCACTGATGTTCACGCTGTCGCTTACCATAGCTACATAATGTTAGAATAAATCATTGTATTCATTCAACAGGTTACTTGGCACTAAAATATAGAAGAACTAACTATCTTTCTACCTTTTAGCCTTATTCTTAAGGTCCCTGATTTAGTGATAAACTTAACTATTTGTATGGATGTACTGTAAAGGTCAGCGCAATGAAATCAAGAGAAATAAATCTTAAATGACAATGAAAGCCTCCAAGACAATCTTAGACGGTATGGCGCCAGTTGAGCTACTGTGACTGACACAGAAACTATGAAAACGGCAATTTATGTCAAATAGTTTACTCATTGCAACTTACTGATTTTCAAACACCGTATCTATTTTTGCATTAGATGGCTTCTTTACTGTTTTAAGGAGAAGTCCTTTTCTTACAATATTAGTTGATGTTTTCAAGTTTTTCACTTTCACAATCACCCGGACAAATCCATCTTTTTCCTTTTCATCACATGCTGAAAGAGTGAAAAAAAATGCATACATGTAAAGGGAAGAATTTACTAAGTCAATCCATAGTAAGGAAATAGTATCAATAAAAACTGCTTCAAAACGTTCTTTTTAATAAACAACAATAAGGTAGTTAGAATTGAATTGACCACAGGCTATTGACTTGGGAAATATTTTTGAAACATTGTTTAAATATCATTTAAAAAAAATAGTCAAAAACAAATAAGATGCAAAAATAAATTATGGATGCTGATTTTCCAGTTATTTTTTACTTAAAAATCTAAGTGTCAAATTTATCTACTGTTGTGGGGTAAAAAGACCATGTTTTGTATACCTTATTCAGGACATTAAAGAAGTACCAGTTTCCATTTTAATACATAAGTTTTGAAGTGTAATGTAAAGTTTTTTTTATTTGGTTTATTATTTAAAAATAAAATATACAGGAAGATAATTGAAGTTACATTAAATAAATTTCATAAAAACAGAAATAGCGACATTTCATTAATAAATTGGGTTTCATATCGTCTCCAGATCTTATTTTGGTGTCCAGACAACCAAAATGAGTTTTATAAGCATAAAAAATGGACAACCTCATTGTGGCGAAATCGGAAGTACAATATCTGTTTGCATGATAAACTCCGCCTTCAAATCATCCGTACATCAATATTAAATCAACAAACATGACTATATGTAGCAGTCCTAATTCAACGGTATATTTCCGCACTGTAACAGATGTTTTTATACAAATTCAATCTTTTTTATGAGATGATTACTTTTTACTGAACCTTAGGCCTAGTGCACCGTGAAGTTAAATGGTTAAAATGTGTTTTCACAAGAAAATTTCATATCTGTTGTGTTCCAGATAGCAGTTATAACACTGTGACGTAGTGCATACACAAGCTGATTATAATCTTCATTTGCATGTTAAAATTCGTATACGAACTTTAGTGTTACCGTGGGGTTTTCCGTTTAAAATCCTTATTTATGAACAACATTTGATGAGATTTACAACAATACTGTTAAAAAGGTTAATGACTCTGTAGAATGCTTGGTTTTTAGGCCGACGGCAAAATAATTTTACATATTTATTTAGTGTTGCTTTAAGCTATTGCAAAAAATGTGTGATTCAGTGTCAGAGTTATCTCTCCAATCAGTATATCCAGTCAGAAAACTGTATTATGCATTTTAATATAATGCAAATTGTTAGTGACAACAGGGTCTTTCAAATAGAATGGTCTGGAGACGAACCAATTTCACGAAAAAAGCTGTCTCGGTTGAGTCACGTGATTGGGTTATCTACCGACCGTGAGCTGGCATAGCACATCACCATTAAAAATCAAATTATAAGATAATGTTTTGTTAAATCAATAAAAAATTTACTAAAAACTAACTGACTACATTATATTATCAGATTTTACTTAAAAAGTAACAATTTTATAGATTTGCAATGAAATTAGGAATTTTTTGTTCCCGGTGTCAAGGTAAAAATATACTGCTCATATTTGAAAATAGGTCCGAGTTTCATGAGCTTTTTTAAATTTATGCATTGTTCAATGACAAAATAGAAATTGATTTTACAGAGAAAAGATGTTATTAAATCGTATCATGTAAAAATATTATAACATTTCACTATGTTATTTGCAAACATGTGATGTTTAATTTGGTGAATTTTCAAAATGGCGCCATTTATCGGCAAATATTCTGAACAGGCAATCTATATTTTTCAACAAATATGGCTTTAAAAACAATATTTTCTGAAATATTGATCCTTTTGTCACAAGTTTAAAGATTTTAAAATAACATCATGTCGTTAAAATTTTCATTTTTGCTCTTGTATTTAATATTCGCCCTTTTCTTGAACACTTATATAATTTGCATATAGCAAACTATACCGAGTTATACCGAGACATGTTTAATTGTAGCGAGAAGGGTTTACATAGTGTGTTTCCAGACCATTCTATTTGAAAGACCCTGGTGACAACAAGTTCAAATTGTTAGTGACAACCACAAGGCCAAGGCGAGTGTTGGGATAGTGTAAAAATGTATCCTGTTTTCTCGAGAAATTTATTTGCACCATTAGAACGTCAATTATTATTACCACAACATTCAATAAATGCTTACAATGAAAAAATAATAACACAACTGGTAGGAAAAAACAGTTTTGAACAAAGGGAAGTAACTCAACAAAAAGGATCATCATTGCAGCGTAAGAGTTAAAAAACTTCTATTAATTAAGTGACGTTGTAAAGTAAGCCGATATATAGTAGACAATATACATAACAATACGCATGATTAAGATTTGCTAAAAACTTCATTCATCAGCAGTTTTTTTCTTGGTCTTCAGACAGTGACATTATAGAGCTTTGCAAGATTTCGTATAAAGCTGTCAAGGTAGGTTTGACTTGTTGTCAACAGTGACTTGATCGATTATAAATTTTTATTTCTTGCGAAAACGGGTTATTACAAAAATATGGTGTATCAACCTGTATCTAGAGGAAGATATTCAATTTTTGTTTCGCTTTCAGTGTCAGCCATGTTTACAAGTTTAACTTCCGGGTACAGGGTGTTTCCAAAGGTGGAGGCTATAAGACATCCCTTTCCTGGAGTTAGGCGGAGTTTACTATTATAAGCGTTTTTTTTAGCGCTAATGTTAAAGAGCGTCTGAGTGAACGCTGCTATAGTGAATGGAAAGGGACGTAAATATGCGAAATGTACTTTTATTTCTCCATAATAAAGAAAACTAATATTATATCGCAATATTAGATCTACGTTGAATTGAAGTTATGTTTTCAAAGCAACTTATAGCATCACGAAACTATATGTGCGTGTCTCTACTGTATATTATAACGCTAATAATTGTGAAATTGTATACTTTTAGTTGCTTTGTATATTTATGCACTTACAAAACACATTATGTTATGACTATTATTAAGTGAATTTACATAAATTGTCGTCATTTGAGGTGAAGGCAACCCAATTTTTTAAAGGGTTCAATCAATTACACCAATAAATAGTTTGTCTTGGGTAAAATAAAGACGACAACCCGTGTATGGTGGTCACCTGCCACAGTACCTAAATAAAGTGCAATCTAAACTTGAGATGTACATGCTTCCGAATGTATCACCAATAATAAGTAATTGTAGGTAATCAATTACACCCCTAACGCATGTTACCTGTAATAATTAAACATGAAAAACAGTTCGCCCATAATCTGATAGAGTATAATTATATATCAATGACGACAACCAATATATGGAGGTTCATCTTTTTATACCCTTATACGATTATATAAAGTGTATAGCCTACCGGGTTAGACTGTAAACTGAATGATGTATCCCTAGAAAAGTGCATTGTTAAATGCAATTCTGACAGCCAGTATCTGGATGTAGACAATTAAGTTTAATGTCTGAATGTAAAATCATGTACTTTACTTGTATATTAACTTCATTTATTCTATTACGTGTATAGCCATTATATGAACCTTCTTTTTTACAAATAATGCAAGTTTAGGAATAGTGAACTTTTGATTCATAAATGAGGTTATGAAAATATTGACAATTATGTTAACAACCATGCAATATACGGATGTAAGGTCTGCGGGTTAAAAATTTTAAAATCTACATGTATATACATTTACTTTACAATCTTCTGGTATAGCATGTACTTAATAAGCTAAGATTACGTTAAGAACATGTAAATTTGGGTAAAAGGACAACCCGCTTTTGGAGGTCAACTGCCCTGATGCCTGACTGAAGTGCAGTACATAATTTAAGCTACAGTCTCACTTACATCCCGGCAAAGCCCCGGTAGACGTCCAGGTGATCTGGGAACGGCCGGAATACATCCATAACTCTGCCAGCAACGTCCCGGATGATCCTGGTACATCTGGCATTCGACCCCGGAAATAAAAAAAAAATTAATATCACCGGGGTGGTCCGTGATAACCCGGGGAGTATAGCTTAATTTGCCCTGCCGGAAACGATCGGGGTTACACCGGGGAAGCACCATAGCTCTGTCGGCAAAAACCGGGTATGATCCGGGGTATGATATAGCCGGTAGAGCTACGTACGGCAGAGCCCTTGTGAATGCTGGCAGAGCCCCGGAGAATGCCAGCAGAGCCTCGGAGAATGCAGTCAGAGCCCCGGAGGATGACGATGGAGCTAAGGTTGATCCCGGTAGAGCCCCGATAAAGTCCGGTTTGATTCCAAAAGAACCACGACAATTTGCGATGATTGCACTTGTTTGTTTACCCTTCCCATTTCCATTCTATCCAGTCTTGCGTAAGGATTTTTCAGAAAATCATTATGCATTACTGCTCTTTATATTAAATAAAATTATGTATTGATCAATGTAATCATGTAATCATGTTCTCGCGCGTTTTCAATCCACTGGGATTCTAGCTTAGGGGGCTCTGCCTGGATCGTCCTGGGCTCTGCCTGGATCGACCGGGGATCTGCATGGGTCAATCCAGGCTCTTTCCAGCGTATAGGCTACCGGGTCAGACTGTAAACTGATTAATTGATGTATCACTAGAAAAAGTGCATTGTTAAATGCAATTCTGACAGCCAGTATCTGGATGTGGAGAAATCTTATGATCATGTATATTCACTTTATTTATTCTATTACGTGTTTAGCCATTTTATATAATAATGCAAACAAGGGTAAGTTTATGAATAGCGAACTTTTGAATTCATAAAATGAGGTTGTGAAAACAATTTGGGTAAAAGGACAACCCGCTTTTGGAGGTCAACTGCTTCGATGCCTGACTGAAGTGCGATACATAACTTACATTTACATGTACTTGCTTTGGAAAAGGAGTGTTTATTACAACTAACACTGCATAAATTGGCTTGAATGTGGTTTGAATCGGTTAATAAGCATAAGATAGGGGTAGGGGGAGGGGGGAGAATAAATGAAAACTTGTGGATTGAATCCATGGTTTATCCATAGACAAGTGTTTATGTCGGCATTTTAATGTCTCAATTTTCCCTTAATGTGTACTTCTTAAGACGGAAGAAGAAAACTGGAAAATACCGTTTAAAATCTAAATCAATATAATACTTGAACTATGTTGGTTTTTCATCAGCAATGTCGACATGTGTGTGTGTGTGTGTGCGTGCGTGCGCGCGTGCGTGTGTTGGTGCGCGTGTGTGTGTGTGTGAGTATCGTTTTTTACTTTCAATGAATTTAAATACGTCCAATTGTAGACATTGCAGATTTTTAAATTACTAGGGAAAGTCATATGGAAACAATGACAACAAGCAAATGGATGTATGGTTGTGGGTTTTTTTATTTTAAAAAACTTCTTTGGGATATATTGGGTTTATGGGAAAAAAGATTTTCTAAAAAGGGCACGTTTGTAAAAATTTTAAAACATATACCAAAAAAAAATTTTTATATTGAACGACAACCCCCTTGGGAAAGGGCACCTCCTTCGGTGCCCCACCGGAAGGCGGTTTTTTAAAAAACGCCCAAAGGTTTTTTAACTTACCCCTTGGGTTAAACCCCCTGCCCCGAAAATTTGGTTTTGAAAAGCATAAGCCCCTGGAAAGTAAATAATAAGTTAGGGGAACTTGATAGGGGTTTATATTATGAAAAATTAAAAATTTTTTTACCCTTTCTTTTTCTGAAGGGTTTTTTATGAATGCAAACTTTAAAAATTAAAAAGATTTTTGGGTTAAATTTTAAAAAGGGGAAAACCATTTTTCGAATACAATTAATATAAATTTGCTTGGGTAAATCACACATAACGATAACCCATGTAAGGAGGTCACTTGCTTCAGTGCCTGAATAAAAGTCTCTGAATAAAGTGCTGAACGAGTTGTCATATTTAATAAACAATAATTTTAGGTTATCCCTTATACTGCCTAAAATTGTTTCGAATGCCTTTTGATGTACCTGCAAGGTTTAGTGTATACTACCTTAAACGACAAACAATATATGGACGTCAACTTCCTTTTCTAATAATGAAATAAATATACCGTGTAATATAATGAAATCCGGTTGATAGAAGCAATGGTTTATCCGTAGAAAAAAAAAACTTCAAATAATTGTATTGCCAAAGGCTTTGGTGACAAACCGCATCTAGATGTCTTATTTTCCTAAAATGTATACATATGTACGACTTAAAACGGAGGAAGATGAAAACTGGAAAAAAAAAACGTTTAAAATTGATATCAATGTAAGACATGAACTATGTTGGCTTGAAACATCAATGACGATATGTATAAACATGCAAATTTTCAAATATCTGGTGAATATGGGTCTGAAAAACAATATATGTATGACAGTATGTGTATATGTATGTTTTTTTTTTGTAAAACAAAGACTACAACCCATGTTTGGTGGTCAGCTGCTTTAGTGCTTGAATAAAGGGCATTCACTTGTACTGCCTAAATCGGCTTATGTCTTAAATGCCTCTTTCACCAATACTCAATTAACAAAGAACGTGGCAGAATTCTTACAAAAAAAGATGGTGTCAAGAACTCACGACAACCAATATATGGAGGCATAGATTTAGATCCATGATGGAGGTGTTTTTTACCGCTTGTTCATCTTCATATAAAACGGTGCTTTAAAATCATTGAGTTTCTTCATTAAGCATGCTCGTTGTCTGGAAAAGTTTAAAAACAAACATCACGGTGCATATCCATATCGGTACCCTCTTTGCAAAATCTGCTCAAACGGTACCCTCTCTGAACATACACAGGTCATTCTCTGCTAAAAACAAACCAGCGATGGATAACAATCCAGTAAAATTTCATTGTAATAAGGAAAGGAGGTATGACATGTAGAAAAGATGTATACCACGGAACACTAGAATGTTTTAATTATGTGCTGATTTGTCATGTGCCCGATTTTCATGTTCACAACTTCACAATAAGCTACAAAAAATCGACATGTCTTGTCTCGTCCATCACCTCGACATGTATTGTTCGGGCTGAAATGAACCTGTGGCTTGATTATATATGCATCATACATATTTAATATGTTCATATTCATATCATCTTCCGACAAATGGCAGTATATAATTATTGTCAAAAATAAATGAAAAATTCATAAAAACACCCTACTTTCGGTTTTGCAGCGGCACGGGCTACCTGTCTTCATTTGAATTTTTACATCACAAGTACCCTCTCATTTTTTAACACATAGGTACCCTCAAAACAAAAACAACTTATTTCATGCTTTACAGTGTTTTACTATAATATATTAGATGATTATATTCTGATAAACCACTAGTGAAATTTAAAACAAGAGGGCCATGATGGCCCTGAAGTCGCTCATCTGTACATAGGTCCCAGGGCGGTGCCAGTTTAAACCTCTTGGTTTTTATTTGAAAAAACTTGGAAGACACTCACTAGAAGATGTTTCATGCCAAATATCTAAGCTCTAGCTCTTTGGGTTTTTTTTTAAAAGAAGATATTTAAAGTTTTTTCTTTCAGTTGCCATGGCAACCAGAGTTCTGTATGGAATTAAATTCTTTGAACAAATTTTAAAGGTGACCACCAAAGGATCATTCCTGTGAAGTTTGGATGAAATTGGCTTAGTGGTGTTAACCATTTATG